GTTACTAGCTCTACATTCCCTCTTTAAACTGGAATATATCTCGCTAATCCACTAAGTAGAAAAATATAATGTTCCATGCATGTTTACATCAATGTATCACTATATAAGAACAAATAATGAGAAAAGTTTGGAGTGAAGAGGGAGAGATCTAAAACTGGTCTTTCAAAGTTTTAAGGGTTCTTTTAGATTGTAATATCTATTTTTCCAGTAATTTTCTGCTGATCCCAGAAAATTGGATTATTAAGATTTACATCCAAACAGAAAAGAGTCTAATGTGAAAATTCAAACCTGCAAGTAAATGTCAGAGTTCATAAAGTACTAGATTTGCAAAGGGTGGGTTTATAAATATGTTACAACTTATGAATTTGGACATTTTAAAATAAAATGGTACTCTATTCCAAATGGATTCCTACCTATGTTTTTTCTCATTTATCCCTCTCTCTCTCTCTCTCTCTCTCTCTCTCACACACACACACACACACACACACACACACACACGTGACAAATCAAAACAGCTATAACTACCCTTATTTCTTTGGATTTCCAGCCCACTTCTATACAATAAAGTGCTTTTTCTTATTTTTAATGTTGTTCTATGTCTGACTGATACCAGCTCACTAATACACTGAAACACTGTGTTGCATACACAGACTGAATTCAGGTAGCACAAAACATCTCCGCTTAGAACTTTTTGATCAGCTCTGAAAGCTTTTATTATTACTTAGAAGACAGAGTGGGGGCAGTCAGTAAATGCAATAGAGTGAAGCTGCCAGATAGACTGCCTACATTACTGAGCCATCTGGTCTGGTGACTGTTGCGGTTCCTTGTGAAGAAAGAAATTTGCGTTGTGGTGATAAACTTCTTCCCCCTTTGCTGTTTTCGGAGTAGAGGAAACACGGTGTGTGAAAAGCTTTCCCTTTTCTCTTCTGCATTCTACTTGAGTTTTATTCCATTCTCTGTTAAACTGAGGCCATTCTTGGATGCTTGCAATTTACCTGGTTTCATCCACTTATCTCTCTTCCCTAGTCTTGCTTCCTTTAATCTTACCATAACAAACACACATGAACTAACTCATATCCTTCAAGGGCCTGATCCAGAGCTTATTGAAGGCAATGGAAAAAATGCCCTGTGACTTCACTGGGCTTTGGATCCAGTTCCCTAAGTTTTGGACTCCCCTTTTATCCACCTGGGTAAGCAGCTACTTTGCAGACTACTGTATCCTACAAGAGCCTTAGAACAAAGCCAGTCACCCACCTCACTTCCTTTCCTACATTTAACGGCTTCACCTCTGCAGTGCTCATAGACTTAAGCAGCCAAAGGGCAAAAGTCACGAGATCACTGGATTAGGGTCTTTTGTGTAGTAGTGAGTTGTAGTACCAGCATGTAGATGCTTTGAAAATTCTGCATAACCTTTGCCTGATGAGCTGTTAGTTCACTATTCATCTTCCGACTTCATGAAATAGTACTGTGCTGCTAGCAGTCCAAACTCCAGAGGTTTCTGCTTAACCTAGATAAATTACCTTCTAAAAATATCCTGAGTGGTCCACTAGATATTCAGATACTTTAGCTTCTTTCTCTGATGAGATGCCTGTTTCCTTTGTTTATTAACTCATGAAACAAATAAGTTGCAATGAGTTGCATTTCATCTTTCCCATGGGAAGCACCTGTGAAAATGCTTACTTTTAAAACTCTTACGTAGCTTGCTTGGATGTCTTGTTTCTTTCAGAAATGCCATTCTGACGGGGCCATGCTACAAACTGTTATACCAGAAACATGATGTTCATTTTTTTTACTGTCATTTATGCTATTGGCATAGAAGTATGCTGACTGAATGATGAAATCATAGAGGTGCTGTTAGATTCAGCATTACTCACTGGGACAAAATAATGCACGGAACTTCTTGTAGACAACTTCTGTTTCTATCCGTTGGCAATATACATATGAAATTACCTGATTTTCATCCACAGTTGCTAAAATAGTTTGTGAAATGTAGAAAAAATAGTCAGTTGCACACAAAAAGTTTCTAGTAATTATAAATAACATGGGGTATGTCTACACTAGCCCCCTAGTTTGAACTAGAGAGGCTAATGTAGGCATTCGAAATTGCAAATCAAGCCCGGGATTTAAATATCCCGCACTTGATTTGCATCTTCCCGGCCTGTCGCCATTTTTTGAAATTTACAAGTCCGGATTAACTGCCCGCGTCTACACGAGGCAGGGGCCCAGTAGTTCAAATTAAAGCCCTAAATTGAACTACCTGTTATTCCTCCTGACCCAGGTTCAGTTCCTTCGCTGAACATACATCTCTTGTGTTGCAGAATACGGTCCTAGCTACTGGGCTGTTGAATTGTGTTTGGATCTCCTGCATCCTGTATGAATTGCCTACCTACTGTGCTAAAGACTACAAAGTGACATAGCACTTTGAATGTTGGTCTTTTCCAATCTATCCCAATGAAGCAGTTCAGCTGTTCATACATAATTAGTCAGGCAGGCAGGAACACGAACTTGTGTCCCTCAAATTGCTGATGAGTGCCCAGACCACCAGGATATTGAGTCATGCTTATTCTTATTCCCTCACCCAATTACTATTCATTGTCCTTATAAACTAATTTTAATTGCCACCATGAATGACACAAATTGCACTCAGCTCTAGTAGTTGCTACATTTCATTGTTCAAATGAGTTCTTTACATGGGAATCCTCTAATTAGATTCTTATTAAAAATAATATTAATGTTTTGCAAAATTAACATCTTGATCCCTCAAGGTACTACCAAAACTCTTAGACACCCTCCCACCCCAAATCAGAAAAGCACATAAGCATCTCTTTTTAAGTCCCATTGAAGTCAATGGGAATCACACACATGCTTAAATTACAGACTTAAATGCTCTTCTCCCTATAGAAGGATTATGCCTATGCTTAAGTGCTCCCAGGTCTGAATCCAGAGTCCTTGCATGATCAAGCCCCTATAATGCTTGCCAAATGAAAATCTTACGGTACAATTCACCCATGAGGTAGGTAGGTATTATTATTATCCATGTCTTACAGAGAAGAGAGGAGAGTGGAAATGTAGGACTTAATCCAGGACCACTGATGTTTATCATGGCCATAGGTGGAAACAGCATCATGTCAATAGAAGCCCGTGACAAACAAGGAAATAGAACCCAAATGCACTGACTCCTCTTCTAGCTACAAAGTCTCCGAATGCATTTGGTATACCAGCCACCCACCCTGTTATCTAATAAATAACCACATTTTCTCTTTTGCTTCCCCTGTTTTTCCAGATGAGACAAAACCCACAGCTGTGCCCAGCCCACCATCAGAAGAAGGGGTAGAGCTGTGCAAGGATAAAGGTACGGCTTAATCTCAAACTGTTCAATCCAAAGATTCACATGGCCATATTTTCCTCCACATCTGCAAAAAGCCAAACAGAGACTTTAGAAAATCAGAAATCAGTGACAAACTTAGATTTTTATTTTTAAATGATTTTCTCATGCAACACATGGCACCAGCTATTGTGCCGGTGTGAGAGGCGCCACGAAATCTTAGGTTTCAGCATTATGGAGTTAATACAAAGGTGTACCATGCTTGAAATACCAGATATAGGCCCCAAATCTGATCTCAGTAGGATGGCTTGTGTGTAAAGCTAAGTGAATGAATAAATCTTTGAAGTAGCAAGGCCTTAATTAGCTCTGTCCTGATGGAAAAAAGATAAAAAACAGTAATTTATAAAGACGTCATGGGGAGGCCATAGGAGATGAAGTCATAAAGGAGAGAGGGAATAATGTTTATCTTGTGCAGATTATGCTGGACACTCAAATCATTTTGAGTGTGATAAATAGTTAGAAGTGTCACGGGGCCAAATGACAAAGAGTTTAGGAAACAAGACAGGGCGGTTATTTAATGCTTCAAGCGGGGGTTCTCCTGTTTTGTTGTTCGGTTTACAGATAGCAAACCAATACAGAAACATACTGTTCTTGATCCTTTTTAAGGCATCACACCATCTAGTCTCCATTGTCTTAGAATTCTTTTTGGTATGTGTGTAAAAAAACAAACAAACAAACAAAAAAAAACCCCATGATGATTTATAAAATCTTTGCTGCTAGAAATTCAAAACAGGAGTTATCTTATCTATAATATAGTCCATCAATACAGCCTTCAAGTAAGACTAACAGAAAAATGTTAATGCATTTTGCTGAGATAACATAATTATTAACATCCATTAACTTATTTATTTTAAGAGTTAATGTTTAATTCAATGCTACCGTTTTACCCTTTCTTTTTTTAGGAAGGTGTGAGGAAGTGGGTGTGAAATCTCACTTTGTTGTTGCAAAATAGCATATTAAGGAGTCCACTGTCTTTTCCCAATTATGGGTTCAAAGCTCAGTTTAGGTTGATTTAACTCGTTCTTTCAAGTGGCTGATAGAAAAACTGTTTAGTTTTAAAAAAAAACTGGCCAGAATACTGTATTTGTCACTGAAATCCTTATTGATTAAGGTCACAGCAAGGCTAACAGCAGTCAGAAATAGTTAGAGTTCATTCTAAGCATGGTTGGTGATTGATTAACCTTCGAAGTACCCATCATCTTTGTGTGTAACCATTCTTCTAACTTTATCCATAGGGTTAATATACTCTTGTCTGGGAATAGGGAACAGATTTTCTTACTAAGGACAATATGAACAGAAAAATTAGTTTATCTGCTTCATGCTGATAGGGTAATTAAAGTTAAGAAATTGTGCTTAAAATCATGCAAAGAATGTATTACAAGACTGTGGCATTTCACACACAAGATTCCAAGGTCCAGAGTCCTAGTTACTCCATCCATGGGTTGGACAGAGTGGAGCAAAGATATCTTAAAGCCACCTTTTCATTCTTCATTTTGTGGGGTAATGCAGAGCCTGCCTGGTTCATGATGTAAGTTAAAAGGCTCCCGTGCTCTGGTTCCATGGCCTTTGGGAAGCACAGTTACATTGCTGTGCAGACTGGTCACACCCCTACTGTCTCCCTACCCCTGCTGCCTGTGTAGAATTCTTAATGCCAACACTACACCAACCTCAGAAGCCCTTTGTGCAGACTGTATTCTAAGGGAACCAGTTTCCCTCTCTCTGAGACTGCCAGAATAGTCTAAAGGGTCATTACAGTCACTGGAAATCAAGCCCCATGTGTATTTTTTTTTAAAAGGGAGCGGGGGCATTTGTTATTGTATTATAATATAGGTCTGGTCTACACTAGACCTGGAAGGTCTGGTTAAGGTCTGTAATAACAGCCACATAAAATTCCTTAAGCAGAGCTTGGCTTCATCTGCACGGAGGGAGGCCACTGGGAGCAAATGCTACCACCAGCTTCCCTTGCTCCTCATGACTGCGAGGAGTATGGGTGCTGATCAGAGCTACCTTCAGCATTCAATTTAGAGGGTTTTAACTAGACCCACTAAAATGAACACCAGAAAATCGATCTCCAGCAAAGCAAGTGAAGGCCATAGTATATTTTGGGGGGACATGTGCCTTTAAAAATCTCATACAGCACCAATATGTACTTTGGGATTATTCTTGGATTGTAGGATTTTCTATTACACTGTTTCAGGAAGATTCAAATATGTGACAGAGGTATGTAAGTTATCGTCTGAAATTTAGCGTTGGTACAACCTGAGAAGGAACAGCACATACGTTTTTAAAGACTATTATTCCAAAAATATTAGGGCTCAGATGGTCCCTCCTACCAAAGGGGAATGCAAATTCCTCTCACTCTCTCTGTAGATTGTTCTTCACCAGTCCCAGCCTGATTCAGTTAGTGCTGATAAAGCACATGCCTTCCTCTTCTATCAGGAGAACTACTATGGGGAGTTTGTAAAGAGAGTTCATAGAGAAACCATGCTCCAGTGGTGCCTGGGGATCACCTTGATGATTCATGTTTGGATCTCCCCTGTTCTTTGGTGGCCAACCACAGTACCAGTTTCACTGGAGAAGGAGGGGAGGCAAAGTTCATCCCTGATAGAAGAAGTAGAAGGAAACTCCTAAGAGAATGCCTGACCAGAGAGAGCATTGGGTCAAAACTTTGGAAGATCTAAAATAAATGGCCACAAATTAAAAAATATATATATTGAATTTAAAAATATAATTAAGGTTCCAAACCATTAATCATACAATATAGGTAGGCTTGGAAGGAACTGATTTTTATTGGCCCATGTCAGTAAATCTGTATTTCACAATATGTACACAAAGCAATGAAAGATTCCATTCATTGGTGATGATAAAAATGTACAGAAAGCCAAAATAAGAAAAATGCTGCTTGAAAACGTATTACATTTTGATTTAAGGGTGTATACTTTGTGTATTTTGACGCATGATGTTGTGTATTAACTTTAAAGATAAAACTTTAACTTTTTGAATCTCAGTGTCTACTGTTAAATAATTATCTGACATCCGCACATAATTTCCCACAAATGTGAAACCGTAAATAGATATGATTTTTCTATTGTATAAAAGGGCGGGGAGGCTAAAATTGAAGTCTTAGAGGGGTAGGCATGTTAGTCTGTATGTGCAAAAACAATGAGGAATCCTATTTCACCTTAAAGATTAACAGATCGCTAAAGTGGGTTTTTACCCATGAAAGCTTATGCCCAAATAAATCTGTTAGGCCATGTCTACACTACAGATAAAATCAAAGCAGCCACAGTTGATCTTCCAGGGTTCAAATTAGTGGGTCTAATTCGAACTGAGAGGGTGTTCCCGTCGATGCTGGAAGTCCTGCTCCTATGAGGATTAAGGGAAGTCAAAGGAAGAGTGCGTTCCCGTCGACCTCCTGCAATGTGGATGGCATCAAAATTCGAATTAAGATACTTTGACTTAAGTTACGCAATTAATGTAGCTGTAGTTGCATATCTTAATTCAAACAGATCGCCTAGTGTAGACCAGGGGTTAGTCTTACAGGTGCAACAGGACTCCTTATTGGGGGGTTTTTTTAAGTGAACATCAAGATTATCTGTCCAAATTATGGAAAAGTAAAAATTGCTTTCTGCCAGTCCTAGCTATATGTAAGAGTTAGAACTGGCAGATAAATGCATTCTAAAATGAAATAAATTCAAATCAGTTCTTCTACCCTTATCTGAGAACACCAGTGCTCACAGGGTAGGTTGCATTTCACTTACAACAGATATCACAGACATCTCTTAGGGGAAAAGAAGTGATGCGCTCTGTGCCATTTGAGATATTTGTGAGATAACAGCAGTTGCAGGAGAAACACAGAATGAAGGATGAGCTGCTGTTCACATATTTCTTAATAGAATCAAAATCCTGTAACTTAGCTTGGAACGAGTAGATCTCTGCCCCCTCGCAATCCCTGAACTCTTTCGAGAATCAAAGCCTTTTAATTTTGCTCTTACACTCCACATTTCAGATTCATATAGAGGTGAAAGTAGGCTGGTATGGTGTACTGCGAAGAAGAGGCTGTACACAGAGACATTAAAATTCTCTGCCCCTTTTGCTCCCCCTCCATTGGCAGTCCTGCTGGTTAGGTCTAACAGCACTACCAGACCCTATCTGCAAGGCCACCAATGGGGGGGGGGACTAAAGGAGCAGCTGCTTTGGGGCCTAGCAATTTAAAAGGGTCTAGTGCTCCCGGCAGTCACTACTGCAGCAGTGGCAGCCAGAGCCCCGGAGCTCCCAGCTGCCCCCGTTGCAGCTGCAAAGCTCTGAAGGGCTCCCTAGAGCCCCTCCCTGAAGCCCTCCTCCTTCTGGGGGCCTGGAGCATCCTCCCACCTTGCCTATGACCCCAGCCAGCCCAGGCTGAATATTGGTAAGTCCTGGTACTTACTTTCACCCTGGATTCATCTATCTATCTATATTTGAGAGGTTTGTGTTTGTCTGTGTGTCTGTCCGCAAGTCTGTTTGTTCAAGAACTCTGTCTAAATGGTAAGAGCGAGGACCACACAATTTGGCAGGCAGCTTCCTCTTCTCCTAACTTAATGCAAGGGCAGGGTTTGGTTGTGTCAGGACAACTAGAAGCCTCAGGAAAGGGTTTGGTTTTCCGTAACGTGCAAAGAGAGAGGCAGTTGTTCAGAGAGATACAATACTGAGAATGGCCACTGGGGGCAGTGAGGCCACAGTCTGGAGAGTTATCCTGCAGCATGTCCACTGCATGAGAACAGCTGTACCACCAAGGGAGTGGCCAGCTGAGCTGAGGCTCTGCCATCTTGCCTGCCAGCACACTGGGTAGCCCCTCTGCCCCAAAACAGTGCAGGAGGAGGGGGGAGAAAAAGGGCCCCTGGAGGCAGGAGGACCTTGAGAGAGAGAAAAGGCTCCTGGAGGTAGCGGGTGTGGGGGGCTTGAGGGAAAAGAAAGGCCCCTGGCAGCTT